TGGACTCTACTACCTTGAAGAAACCAGCAAACCATCTCACACTGTTATGCATGTCACACACGAGTCATCCTTATCTACCTCCAATAAAGATTTAATTTTGCGTCATCACTTTCGGTTCGGTCATCCTTCATTTCCTGTTTTAAAAACAATGCTTCCTTCCTTGTTTAAAGGGATTGATGTTGAAACCTTTTATTGTGATGTTTGTGAACTTGCTAAGCACAAAAGGGATTCTTTCCCAATCAGCAAATAAAGATCTTCAACTCCTTTTTATTTGATTCATTCGGATATATGGGGCCTTTCTCAAATTCCCAACATTATTGGTTCTAGATGGTTTGTCACCTTTATTGACGATTGCACTAGGGTCACATGGACCTTTCCTCTTAAGTCTAAATTTGATGTGGGTACCATTCTTCCCAACTTTTATAACATGGTCCAAACTCAGTTTGGTGTGAGAATTAAAAGGTTTCGATCTGTTAATGCTACAGATTATTTTAATTAGAATTTGTCCCCATTTTTTCAGAAAGAAGGCATTGTGCATGAATCCTCCTGTGTTAACACTCCCCAACAGAATGGGATAGCTGAGAGGAAAAATGGCCATCTTTTGCAAACCACCCGAGCTTTTCTCTTTCAAAACCGGGTGCCAAAACAATATTGGGGGGAAGCTGTCCTTACTGCTGCATACACCATAAATAGACTACTATCTAAAGTTCTTGACAACCGAAGCCCAATACAAGTCCTTTCTCAATTCTACCCTGATATTCGAACCTCAAGTAATCTCACACCATGAATTTTTGGCTGCACTGCCTTTGTTCATGTCGATAATAAGGGAAAATTGGATCCACGAGCAATCAGGTGTGTCTTCTTGGGATATTCCCCAACTCAGAAAGGTTATAAATGTTATCATCCAGCCACCAGAAAATTCTATACCTCCATCGATGTCACATTTGAGGAGGGACAATCCTTTTTCACTCAACCTTATCTTCAGGGGGAGCCCTTATTAATGGAAGATAAGGCCTCAGATCTACTCTCCYTAGATGTATTACCCTCCTCACAGTCATCCAACCGTCAAGAATCACATCCCTCCGAGTCACAATTCTCTGAGCTCCACATTCCCGAGTCTCAACAAGAGTCAAACAACCCGACCATTGAACCAAGTTTAGACACTGTTAACCCCACCAATGATGTGCATGATGATGTGAGATATATGCAGGTTTACTCTAGGAG